TGCAGGTTTTGAATGTGGTCGACATGAATGGAGCTTGGATGTGGTCGTGCAGGAAGAGAACCAGTGGATCTTCATGGATGCAAGGCAGTGGAAGTTGGCAGGTAGACCCCAGAGGTGAAGATGCCAGGCTGAAGCGGGTGGATGTGCTTAAGGTGATGCTGGTGGAATGTGGTGGATGAGGCTCCCACTCAGCCTGCCTGTCTTATACTTGCAGGGAAGTGAATGTTCAGCTGCCCAGGTTCCCTGAGGTGGGCTGAGGAGTGAGAGAGGAGAGTGGGGTTCAGGCAAGGTAAGGGCCCTTTATTCTCCATCTCAATTTTACTTCTTCTCCATTTTTCTCTTTCTCCTTCTCCTTCTGTTACTTTTCCTCCTTCTTTTCCTCCTTCTCCTGAGCATAAACATCTGAGAAAGTGGGTGTTGTGGAGTCCTGTTTAACTAAGGGAGTCATGGAGCTAGAAGGCATTGTCCTGACGTGGGGGAGATACTGCTCTTGAACTAGATGAGGGTTTTTAACCAGAACTGGATCTTTTCTAGGAGATCAACCAAGATGATGTCTTCAGCTTCACAATGTTTCGTAGCTGCAACGGGAGAAGGAAATGAAGGAGCGGCCAATGAAAAAGGCAAGTTCCCCAGGGAAAGTGGGTGGTCTTGCTGAGTGGGAGGTGGCAGATAAGCCTCCTGCTGACCCTGCGTTTTGTCTTCCAGAGATTGAAGCCCAAAACTCCCCAAGTTCCAACTGTCAGGGGGAAGAGTGATGCGCAAGGAAGATAACGACCCTTCCCTTCCTCTGAGGGAGGGAAGGATCAAATATCCAACATAAAAGGCTGTCACCTCAAAGATCAGAAGAGCCAGAGGAAGAGCCTGATGATGTACCATCCAGCATTACAAGTTAACAGCAGAGCAGTCTCATCACTACGATTGTCAAGTTCATTACATCACCTGACAATAAAGGACTTGATCTGCAAAAGAAATAGTGAAGGGGGATGTAGTTGGGGATGGGCAGATTGTGGAACCAGGATAGAAAGAATTTACACACATTAACATCAGAGAGAGTTTGGTTCAGCAACTAAAGGCACTAGAAACGAGGAGAACATAGTTCTGCATTTGATATAAAGCCAGCTGGGTGACCTTGAGCAGTCCTGGTCTCTCAGCTCTAGGAAAAGGAGACAAGGGCAAACCGCTTCTGAAAAACATTGCCAAGAAAATTGCAGGGACTTCTTCACGTCGTCAGCAGGAGTCAAGAGGACTTGAGGACACATATCTTTGTGCGTGTGTGTGTGTGTGTGTATAGAAAAATAGTAAAAGAATAAAGATAAATTAGGAAAACAGAATGGAGCTTAGAGGGTTAAAATAGAAATAGGCATACAACAGATTAGAAATAATAGATCTAGGACTGAGGTACTCATTGTAAATTAGAAAGTGATAAATAATCTTTTCTTTTTGTAATGCGAAGCAGTGTATTTATTTATAATAAAACATTTTCTAAATGGAATTGATGTGTGTGTGCCCTGCTTGAGATCTTTACCATTCTTGAATCTGTGATACCTAGAGTGAGATTTTTAATTGAAGGCTAGCAGAGAAAAGCCCTTGGGCCATTGAGTATATCTATAGCAGTGCTTCTCAAACTTGGCAACTTTAAGATGAGTGGACTTCAACTCCCAGAATTCCTCAGCCAGCATGGCTGGC